TCCAAATAAGGAAAGGGGTCATTCTTTTTGGCACGGACTAAAAAGAAAATAGGTTCACATAAAATGAAACAGAGGGAGTAATAGTTTTTGGTCCCAGTTGTTATAAGGTTGTTGTAATTCTGAGTAACTGTAGATGGCTAATAGCATATTTTCATTTCAATGCTTGCTTTCTGTTGTGTTCATGTGCTTTCTTTTCTTTATCCTTTTTGGAAGAGAATTGGGATGTGGGTTAAACAAACAGCTGAGGGAGGAAAATTGGGAGTTGGACTTACGGTTGAGGACATCTGATTTATATTTTCTTCTCGTCGTCATTTATTCTAGGCTGCTGTTTCACCTTAGCTAGCCATGTCCTGTACAGGTTTCTTCTGTTTCGTCATATAACATTGCATCAGTTGTTGTTAAGTGTCTGGTTGTGTTTGAGCAATTCTTAATGATCAAGTAAATGAGATTTGGTCTTGTGATGGCTCTCTAAATTTGCCTAGTTATGCATAAGTGCCAGTTATAGGGTTGTAACACTTGTAGCAACTTGTATGCACAGTTTATGCAAGACCATGGTGATAATGTATGCGATGTTAGCAACAATTTGGAGTGGGTACCTGTGAAATTTCTCATACTTCTCTTGAGCTTCATCCATGAGCTACAAGTACTCCAAGGGAGAGCAGTTGACTGCTTGAAAACAGGAAGCTCGAAAACAAGCCTTGAGAGTTCTGACAAAGTTGGCCAATATTCAATGATGAAAAACTCGATCATTTTTGTGGAGTTCTCTAAATTGTTTTTCTCTATATTGGTTAGCTACCAGGACTCTTCTCTGTTATTTCAGTTATGGCTTTTTGAGAGTTCTCTAAAATCCTGAACTGCCTGCTTACAGGATGCACTAGTCTCGTATGCTGGAACGTCGNCTCTTCTATGTTATTTCATTTATGGTTTCTCGAGAATTCTCTAAAATCCTGAACTGCCTGCTTACAGGATGCACTAGTCTCATATGCTGGAACGTCATGCAGCATTTTTTGGTCAAAACACATGGAAGAGTGTGGGGATTTTTCTGGTTCCATCCGAGGCAGGCTGGGTGGTCCAAGTCAGCGTCGGTTGTCATCTTCAATGACCAGCTCAGTTTTGCAGGCTGTATGATCCTTTATGTACATAATTTTGTGGGCATGTATACTGCATTCGTGCAGGGCCTTTGATGTTGATGTAGCATCTCTAATTCATATCCTTTTATCATGGTTTTATTTTGAATTAAACAAATCTTTGTAAACTAATAATCTCTAGCATTTAGGGTCTCGACATCTAATATTTGGATACGTTTGTGATATGCAGCTATTAGTGTCATGACGGAACTCACTGATATTTTCTGGTCAGACTCTTTAGATGTATTCCCTAATGAAAGACAACTGTTTGCATTGAAATGCACTGTTTTAGTTTGAGTGTTGGAAGATCTGCTCTCTGTGCCTTAACCTTTGTTTTTTAATCCTCAAGTTTCTATGAAAATCCTTTCTTATTGTTTTTAACAACGTAGTTCATCATGAAACTTCATTTGAAATCTGTCAGGTATATTCATGATTGCTGTCTTCTATCTTATCAAAAAAATAATTGTTGTCTTCTAGTAAATAAGGGGTACATAATTCCCTTCCTCAAAAAAAAAAAAAAAAAAAAAAAAAAAAAGAAGAAAGAAAGAAGTGATACATAATTCCGTCTGTCAAATATCTTAGGTGTTTGATCTTTTGATAAATAGGGTGTATGTGATTCGATGTTATAATTTGTCCTTTATCCCTCTAGAGTGCCTTGAAGCAGGTAAAGATGTTCTTTCTGCTTTAGAAGGATACTAGGAGGGAATTATAGTTAAGTATAGATAAGCTCAAATGCTCCCAGGCATGAGTTCCGAGGTGAGAGCCTAAAAACTCTCCCCGGTATCGTTTCTCTTTCTTTCCGATGATCTTTCCCTTGGTTACTTAGTTTTTTTTATCAATCATGTCTTGGTGATTGGCTCAAAAACTTCGTCTTCTTTTTCTCTTTCTCCTAAATTATGGTTAATAGAATATATTTTATTATTGGTGAGAAATCTTTTGACATCACTGAAGTCAAAAATGGTGCAGAGGTTTGGTACGAATGGGTGGAACGAACGCAAGAAGAATTTCATGAGGAAAATGACTCTAAGTCGAAATTTCATGCTGTGGGTTTGCGGTCTTCTTCATACAACATCTGATCGAAAGGGGAATGAACTCAGAAGATGGAAGTCCAGAGATCATGTCTACAATTTCTTTTGTACAAAGAAATACAATGATTTTGGCAGATATATAAGCATTGTAGCGGTACAGGGGGAACGCAGAGCTGTCATAATCCTTCCAGAAGCAACATTCAATGTGGGATGGAGAGACGTTGCATTAAAGATAGAGAAGTTCATAAATAAGGTGACTCCAGCTTTAAAAAGCTTTGTCAAACCAACTGTGAAAAGTTTTGTCAAACCAACAGAGGAGCACTCTTATATGGAAGCATTCAAAACCGATAAGTGGGAGGCAAAAGGAACCTCGACGCCGTCTGCACAAACCACTTTTGGTCAACGCGTTGCTGCTCAAGGACCTGAAATTTCCGATAAGGATTTACTGAGCAGATGCTTGGTTGGCAGTTTCAGTGATACGAAGGAGTTGCCCACTCTCTCCGACATCAGGAGATGGGTCACTAACAAATGGAGCAGTATCCCTGGCATTCAGATGTATGAAATGGATGGACAAAATTCTTGTTCGAGTTTCCGTCAAGGAAAATGGCAGACCATATCAAAATGGGGGAATGGAGATGGAGGAAACTGCTGATGCTTGAATGGTGGTTGCCGACAGTGGGCTGTTATCCGGCTGAGGCAAAGCTGGATTGGGTTTGGGTGAGATTACTGGGGATTCCTCTTCACCTTTGGTCCCAGAAAATCTTCAAGCTAATTGGGGATAAATGTGGGGGATGGATTGAAACGGAGGAGGAAACTTCTCTCAGGAATTATTTAAAATGGGCTCGAATCAAAGTGAAGGGCCCATTCGAAATAATCCCAAGAGTCATAGAGGTGGAGAAAATTGGCATAAATTTCTCTATGCTGATCTGGTGCGAATCGACGACGACCTGGTGCAGTGCTGAAAGTACATCAAAGACATTTGAAATTTCTAGGGGTCCTAACCCTAGAAATACAGCTATGGGTCTGGAAAGTAAGAGGTACGTTGTTCAAGAGTCACGTGACATCGAGGTGGGGTCTTCTTTTAAAAAAGGTTCACATGCTATTGCTGAGTCATCTAATGGGCCTAATAAAATTCAAAGTCCCCCTATTCCTTTCACTAAGCCCATCCCGACTTTTACTAGAAGCCCAGACGTCTCCGTACCGATCCGCAAGACTCTACTAAACTCGTTTGTGACTCGTAGAACCTATGAACCTAGGGCTCTGATACCAACTTGTCACAACCCAAAATCCCACCACTGGCGCCGTGATGACACCTAGTCTCTAAGGCTAGGTAAACCGATTTCAATTACATTTTTGAAGCCATTTTAAAAAAAAAATTAAATAAGTAATCAAAACTAATAACGGAACAAATATGAACATACAATCTCCCAAGACTGGTAGTACTGAGTCACGAACTCTAACTGAACACATAAAATATTCACGAGAATCGAATATACAACACTGTTTGATAAACAATTAACAGTACAATGAAATGAAAAGACTCCAAGGGACTGCGACGATCAAGCAACTCTACCCTGAATCATTACGATACCATTCTAATTCTGTCCGAGTCTGATATCTCAAATACCTGGATCTGCACAAAAATCTGCAGAAGTGTAGAATGAGCACACCACAGCGGTGCCCAGTAAGTATCAAGACTAACCTCTGTGGAGTAGAGACGAGGTACAGTCAAGACACTCACTAGTCTAATAGCCTGTGCAATAAGAGATACAAAATAATAGGAAATAAATAACAATAAGGGCAACAAGAACACCATTAATAATGCTCAACAATTTATGTATATAAGTACACCCAATTAAATCAAGTATTTCAAATAAATATCTTTCACATATAATTCTTACGAATAAATTTCTTTCAAATATAATTCCTTCAAATAAATATCTTTCAAATATAATTCCTTGAAATAAATCTCGGTCAAATATAATTTATTCAAATAAATACCTTTCGAATGTAAATCCTTTAAATAAATCTTTTTGAATAAAAATCCTTCTAAATAAATATTTTGAATATAATTCTTTCAATTAAAAAGTCACCATGTGACACTTCATTTCATAATCATACAACTACGGGTCTCAGCTCATTTTCATATTTTTCATAAACACGAGTCTCATCTCACTTTCATATTTCCACGGCACTTAGTGCCTATAATTAAATCATCATATTTCCCCGGCACCTCGTGCCCTCATTTCATATCACAACTGCACGGCAATTCACGTGCCGAATATTATTATCAATGCATATAAGATCCACACGATAAATTTCTTTCCGATAAATTAAGTTTAAAATTTTTAAATCAAGTAAGAAAATCAACAAAGAAATGAATTTATTTTAGAAATCATTACTGGGAATTAAAAACAGATTCTCGGTTCTCTACCCAGGGGACAGACTCGACCCAATGCAATTCATAACTCAATGGGCATCGCTGTATCAGAAGATCCATCTGAGACAGAATATCTACCACGTCTCTCAGATGCAACAGAGGATTTGGCTCTACATGGTGGATTCGAAGAAGAAGGTCAAGCTTTAGTGGGTGGCGAAATCATTCCCTTCTCTCCTCTACCCAAGAATTCGCAACAATTATCAGAGTATGAAGATCAAGAGGCATGGTCTGTTGATGAAGCAGAACCCTTGGACTCTCAATTTCTAGAGGCGGAGATGGAAGCTTCCTTATGGGTGCACAAAAATGTTTTGAAAATGAGCAAAGCATACGGAGTGAACTTTCAGGGGTGCGAGGGAGAAGCTCTGTCTCTCTTCATGAAAATCGATAAGCGCAGATTAGAGATAAGAGAAGAAGCTGCTTTGAAGATAGTATCGACTCCAAAAAAGAAGAAGGGGAGCATGGAAGCTCAGAATCTGGTATTCAACATGAATTTCCCAGAGTCCAGTACAAGAAGCAGGGGGAAATCTACCTTCAATTGCTATCAATGAAGGTAAAAATTATTTATTGGAACGTGAGGGGATTGAACAGAAGGGATAAAAGATCTATTGTCAAGTCTCTATTTGAGAGTTGGAAGGCCAATATCTACTGTTTACAAGAATCAGAATTGGAAGGAGATGTGCAGAGTTTTTGTGAAACAAATTTGGGGGTTCAGATGGGTCAAATTTGGCTGTCTGGAAGCTAGTGGCAGTAGATGGGGTATCTTGGTTCTTTTGGACAGTTGATCCTGGAAAGGGGAGGTGATTAATGTAGGCAGTTATTCTATCACTGTTAAGTTTGATGCCCATGGCTATAATTTCTCTTGGCACTTGATTGGAGTTTACGCTCCGCATTGTAGACTTGAAAGAAGGAATGTTTTGTGGGAAGTTGCTGCTTCCAGGGGATCTTTCGATGGTCCATGGGTTGTTTGCGGAGATTTCAATGTTACTAGGTTTATGGAGGAAAGAAGGGACAGCAACATCATATCAAGAGCCATGATTGAGTTCTCCAATTTCATTGAGGACCTTGAGCTCATCGACCCTCCGCTTTTAGGGGGAGTGTTTACATGGTCCAGGAGCAACAATTCTCATATTGCTTCTAGATTGGACAAATTTTTGTTCTCCCCTGATTGGGATTAGAGCTTTAGGAACATAAGGCAATCACTGCTTTCCAAATTTGTCTCTGACCACACCCCCATTTTGCTTAATTGCTGTGACTGGGAGAACTCTAACTCTTATTTCAAGTTTCAGAACTGGTGGTTGGGAGTCGAGGGCTTTAAGGACATGGTAGCGATGTGGTGGTCATCCTTCAATGTCCAGGGGAGACGCGACTTTATTCTCGCTCAGAAACTCAAGCTCTTAAAAGGCAAATTAAGAGATTGGAGTTTTACTCAAGGAAGGAACCTGTCAGCTTTGAAAACTGATTGTCTTAATAATATCCTGGTTCTATAAATTGCCTAAGAGACCAGGGACCTTACTGAAGACGAACTGATACAGATGGCAAGCCTTACTATGGATCTAGAAGAAATTGTAAAGAATGAAGAGTTATCCTGGAGGCAAAAATCAAGAGTACACTGGTTGAAACAGGGGGACAGAAACACAGTTCTTCCACAATGTGGCAAATGCTAATAGAAGGTTCAATGCAATTGATAGACTCACCATTAATGGGGTTTAGGTTGAGGATTTAATTGCAATCAAAAGTGAGATCCTTGATTTTTACCTGCATCTGTATAGCGAGTCAGAATTATGGAGTCCTGAGTTCAACTATAGTCAATCCTGTCAACTAAATAACTCAGAAGTGGAGTGGTTGGAGCGGGATTTTGATGAGCAGGAAATTTTGATGAGAAGTGGAGTCCTGAGAACCAGGATTTTGATGAGCGGGAGTGGTTAAAGCATGTGCAGCCGAAAAAGTTCCTGGACCTGACGGATACACCGTGGGTTTCTTTCTTCTTACACTGTTGGGATGTCCTAAAAGAAGATCTGGTGAATACTTTCCAGAATTTTCATTCACAAGAATATTTTGAGAAAGTTTCAATGCTACCTACATAGCTTTGATTCCTAAGAAGGTTGGTGCAGCTGAGTTGAAGGATTTTAGACCTATTAGTCTGATTGGCAGTGTCTACAAGATCATTTCTAAGGTGCTGACTGAAAGACTGAAGAAGGTGGTCTATAAACTTGTGGACTCTCAACAGATGGCCTTCATCAAAGGCAGGCAAATCATGGATGCAGCTTTAATAGCTAATGAATGTGTTGACTCCAGAATTAGGGGGAATGATCCGGGGGTGCTGTGCAAACTTGATACAGAAAAAGCTTTTGATCACGTAAACTGGAATTACCTTATCAAGCTTTTGAAATATATGGGTTTCAGTTGCAAATGGATTAAGTGGATTCACTTCTGCATTAGTAATGTTAGATTCTCCATTCTTGTGAATGGCACTCCAGAGGGGTTCTTTCCATCTCAAAGAGGATTAAGGCAAGGAGACCCACTCTTACCTTTCCTCTTCATTATTGCCATGGAAGGTTTGAATAACATGTTCAAGAAAGCAAATCTTGAAGGTTGGCTGAGAGGCTTCAGGGTGCTCAACAATGACAGAAGTAATCAGGAAATTACTCACTTACTATATGCTGATGATTCACTGGTTTTCTGTGATGCCAAAGTAGAGCAAATTACACACTTGAGGTTGATTCTGACTGTGTTTGAAGCTGTGTCAGGTTTACATGTAAACTGGAGAAAATCCCATTTGTTCACTATGAACGAGGTTCCAAACATTCAAAGACTAGCAAGCTCTTTGGGCTGTGAGGTGGGGACTCCACCTACTACATATATGGGGTTACCTCTAGGGGCTAAAAATAAGTCTCAACATATATGGAATGGAATTGTGGAAATGTGCGAAAAGAAACTATCTAATTGGAAAAGCAATTACTTGTCCCTGGGAGGTAGGGTTGTCCTGGTTAATAGTGTTCTATATGCTCTTCCCACTTACAAGATGTCTCTCTTTCCCATGCCAGTCAAGGTTGAGAAGAGAATCGACGCTCTGAGGAGGAACTTCATTTGACAAGGAAACAAGGAGAAGAAAAGTTACCACCTGGTCAAGTGGGAAAGTCTCACATGCAGCAAGAAGGAAGGGGGCTTGGGTATTAGAAACCTAAGGCAACATAACCAGAGTCTTTTAATGAAGTGGTTGTGGAGATTCCCTTTGGAAGACCAAGCCCTATGGAGGAAGGTGATCAATGAAAAATATGGTACTGTGGGGCAGTGGCGCACAAGTTCTGTTACCAGCTCATATGGAGTGAGTGTTTGGAAATCAATAAGAGCCCTATGGCAAGATTTTGCTTCCAACATCAGTTTTGAAAATGGGAATGGCATGAAGATCTCCTTCTGGAATGATGATTGGATAGGAAATGGTCCCCTCAAAGAGAGTTTCCCGGATATTTTCAGCTTAGCACAACAACCTGATGCAACTCTAGCTGAAACTTGGAGCCTACAAGGTTGGAACCTAACCTTTAGAAGATTTCTCAATGACTGGGAAGTGAGTAGAGTGACTGATTTCTTCAGTCTTCTACAGAACTTCAGGGAAATTACTGAACAAGAAGACAAGCTAGTGTGGGACAGAAGCAACAATGGTATCTTTACCGTAAAGTTAGCTAAACAGATGTGACCAGAACTATGGCCTCTGGCATTGGAAACATATTTGCAAGGCAAAAGTTCTNCATCAGTTTAAAAACTAGGAATGGCATGAAGCTCTCCTTCTAGAATGACGATTTGATAGGAAATGGCCCCCTCAGGATATTTTCAGCTTAGCACAACAACCTGATGCAACTCTAGCTGAAACTTGGAGCCCACAAGGTTGGAACCTAACCTTTAGAAGATTTCTGAATGATTGGGAAGTGAGTAGAGGGACTGATTTCCGAATGATTGGGAAGTGAGTAGAGTGACTGATTTCCGAATGACTGGGAGGTGAGTAGAGTGACTGATTTCTTCAGTCTTCTACAAAACTTCAGGGGAACTACTGAACAAGAAGATAAGCTGGTGTGGGTCAGAAGCAACAATGGTATCTTTACAGTAAAGTCAGCATACATGAATTTAATCAGATGTGACCTGAACTATGGCCTCTGGCATTGGAAACATATTTGGAAGGCAAAAGTCCCCCTAAAGGTGACAATTTTTTGCTGGTTAGTAGTCAAACAGGCTGTTCCAACTCATGCAAATTTAATGAAGAGAGGAATACAACTATGCTCAAGATGTTTTTGTGCGGCAATAAGAATGAGACAATCAGCCATTTGTTCATTCACTGCCAGGTGACTAGCAGATTGTTGCAGCTGTTCATGAGCATGAAAGGCCTAAGCTGGACAATGCCTAGGAGAACTGATGAGATGATGGCAAGCTGGAATGGCTCCGGGATAATCACAGGCCAAAAGAAGTGGTGGAACATTGTCCCAGCATGTATTTGGTGGACCATTTGGAAGGAAAGAAACTCTAGATGTTTTGAAGATGTGGCAAGCCATGAACAAAGGATTAAGATGAATTGTATATTTTTGGTGTAAAGAAGCGTTTGTACAAGATGTAGAATCTCTAGTAGATCTCATAGGCTCCTCGTAGCTGTTACAAGATTGGTTTTTGTCTATTTTGGGTCTTGTAACTTGTTACTCCTTAGCACAATCTTTGTGCTAGGGACTAATTTTATCAATATATTGGAATCTGTTACCTTTTTAAAAACAAATAGGGTGTATGTGGAATTGTTTCTGTAAGTGTTCAATATGTTTTCTTCACATAAAGACACAATTCTTAATGCTTCTCCATAGGCATTTGAACAATCAATCAATCCTTTCTCCTCATTCCCAGAATTGCCTAGTTTGTTTTCTATTTTTTTCTAGTTATCAGATATATAACTTTCTCACTTTGTGTTCTAACAAACCTTTGGATAGGTGACGTCTATAAAAGCAGTTGCTTTCATCTCCAGTTGGTCTGCACAGTTTGGCGCTGATGCTTCGCTCAAATCTGTTGTTACCTATCTGTGGAATTTTTGCTGGAAAATTAGTAGTACAGCTCTGGCATGTAATTCAGAGGTAAGATTTAGAAAATTATGGGTATGCATAGGCATACATTAAAATGTAACGGCCAATTGATTTGACTATCTTGCTTCCATTGTTCTTTTTTAATTCCTCAACCAGATTGAGGCGGAAATCTGCCTAGCAGCATATGAAGCACTGGCTGGTGCTTTGGATGGATTAGTGTCCATGTTCTCTCTGCTGTCGTTGGATCATGTCACAGAAAATGATGAGTTAACTCCATTAGACGCTGATGGTAAGTCAGTCTTGGATTCCTTACTCAGGACTTTGCTTCAGAACATCAACAGCATAGTTGCAGTGGGCAATTTGGTACGAACTCGACGAGCAGTTTTATTGAACTGGAAGGTGATCTTCTTTGCCTTTACTTAATATATGCATAAGGTTATATGTACTAGGAGATTATATCTAGTGTATCCATATTGAACATGTGATATTCATCTTAAAAGATAGGCAAAAGACTGAAGGAGGGTGGTAGTGGCATTGAGCAAAACAGTTGTTCGAAATAATTCGCGGTATTGAAGGACTAATAATACTTGACATCTCTGATGCATCACCTGAAAATGAAAGTAAAGAGCATGTAATTACCGTAAATATCTCCCTGTAGCTCGAGCTTGTAGCCTAAAAGCTTTGGCATATCTTCTAGAAGTAGTGAAGATGAGAACCCATGGCATAGATTGAAGAATGACATAACCCATTTGGAAAAGCTGGTGTATCGGTGTTGCAATTGGAATACACAAAGCAGAATGTATGTCTTACAGCTGAGGCTAGGAAAAATGGGCAAGCGGACATAGAAATAACAAAAAATGTAATACAGATAGCTATCTTGAATATTATCAATGTGTTCATTTTGCTACCTAAGCAAGAAAGTTTCAGGTGGAATCAAGTTGGATTGGTCAAGAAATGGATAACGAAGCTGCTTAAAATAATTACTTATTAAAAAGAGGCTTAAATTAATACTAGTTTACTACCTGTTGTTTGAATTATTTAGACGGCAAAAGAGAAGAGAAAGATTGTTGGGGATAGTTTTCTCCATCGAGATATACATATAACCACTAGACTCAGTACTTGCTTTGATGCTACTTGTTATTATTTTAGAGGATCAGTGACATTGTTGGAGTTTATTCTTCTTTTACTTCTTCTGGTTTAACTTGCCAGTGCATTCCTCTTTTATTTTAAGAATTCTACTTGTGGTTGTTGGAATTGATGTGCTACCCATGATAAGACGGTCTTCTTGTATGATTTCAGTGGATATGCCTCGAGCTGCTGCTATCAATTCCAAATCATGCACTTAAAAGTGAAGTTCATTTGAGAAAACATAACTTTCACTTCTCAGACACAACACTTTTATGGACTTTCGATGATCTTGTAGACAGGTAAGCACAACCATATGTATCTTCTTAGCAATCACTAAAGTAGAAATTATTAGGGTTAATTCCAAGTTACCTTTGAATTATGAGTTTTGTACTAACTCTCTTTCTTATCAAAAGTAGAATTATCTACCACTAATAAGTTGAAATGGTGAGGTTAGTTTCTTATCTAAACTAAAGATTGTTGAGCAACACTTTGCATTAAGATTTCCTGTCAAAAGAAATTCTTCATTTTCCAAAACCAAACTTTTGTGCCTACCTCATCATTTCTGCAGTAACCAAAGCTTTTGACATCCTTCCTTATTCCTAGCCTCGTGCAAACTGCTCTCTAACCTTACAGTTCCTTATGGCCTCCTTTAGCTAATAGCCAACCTCAGCTCCTCAATATTTTGGCTCCCCTAATCAAACCTACATGCCCCCCTGCCTCCCACCTGCAGCACCTTGTAATACTCTCTCTCTCTTCTTCTTTTTTCAATTTTTTTCTTTTAATTTTTAAAGTTTAAACTAGGCTAATGTGGGAAAACTTGACTCTTTTTATTTCATCTTCTTGTTCTTTTTAGGTTTTGCTAAGAATAACTAGGGTTTGATTCATTTTAGTTGAGAAATGGAAGGTTTATTTTGTACATTTTAGATTGTAAAGCTTAGTAGCCGAAATTTCTATTGAACAGGAAGCGTCTCTTTGGTGAGTCTCTTTTAAATTTCGTCAACATATTGAACTTGTCATTAAATTTTACTGAAGATCTAGGATATGAGCTCATTGCCAAAACCATTTGTCTAAATCGTTAATGTGTTTACTCCTACTGAGGTAGAGATTGATATGGTTGCAGCCTTGAGAATGCTGGAGAGGCTTCTGTTTTACCCATGCTGAGATCTGTCAGATTGATCATGGAGCAGTTAGCTTTAGGAAGGAAAGGTTCAATGGTTTCTGCTTGTCATGGCATAGACATCCAGGTATGCTTAACCTGTGTATTTGATATGTTAATTTCCTTTATTTCAAGTTGTATGTCGTTTTCACTTATCTATTTAAGTTTATTTTTCCATGATGCGGGAGTTTTTTCTCCCTTTTGATTAATACAATTTACCTTATCAAATTTTTTTTTTCCATGAAATGGAACTTATTGATCAACACTCAGCACAGATGATGTGGAAGCTGGTGCGCTCTTCTTGGATTTTACATGTCAGCTGCAACAAAAGGAGAGTTGCTCCTATTGCTGCACTTATGTCTTCTGTGATGCACTATTCTGTTTTTGGCATTGAGAAGATGCATGAATATGAAAATGCACCTGGGCCTTTGAAGTGGGTAGGTAGTCGCCCTCCCTTCTATGTGTTTGTGCTCGGCTTTTTTTTTTTTTTTTTTTTTTTTTTGCTTTTCTGTGCTGATAAATTACTTAGTTCACCTGCTTACCAGTTTTTCGGAGAAGTAACAAAATTCTCCACTTTCTGCAGTTTGTGGAGAAAATACTTGAGGAGGGCACTAAAAGTCCGCGTACCATTCGGTTAGCCGCCTTGCATTTAAATGGACTATGGCTTGCTTATCCCAGTATTGTAAAGTTCTATATGAAAGAGCTAAAGTTGTTAACACTATATGGTTCAGGTATGTCCTTAATTTTCATATTAGTGCAGTTTAGCTAGTCAGTGATTATGTTATTGACTGTAAATATGTGGGGCAGTTTTCTTTCTGTCATTTCAGTAACATCTGATGACAGTTAATTTGTTTATTTTTGCATGTGCAATTTCATCCCTCTTCAGTTGCATTTGATGAGGATTTTGAAGCTGAATTGTCTGAAAATCGTGATGCCAAAATTGAAGTATCAGTGCTGGCTAAAAGCCCAGATCCTGAGCTTACTGAAGTAAGTTAATACCATGTATTTTTGGAGATAACTCTCTACAAGCATGAACGTCTACTGGAACAAAAGCACGAAGGCAGCTTTCTGATTGATGTCATTTTGTTGTTCTTAAACACTAGAAGAACACTTACCTTATTGCCCCTAATTTTGTTACGCCTACTGACTTTTTGATCATCGTTATGGTACCAGCTATCCTTCTTTTAACCAAACAACGAGTATTTATTAAATTGAGCTCCTATGAGTTGCTATTTCTGTTTTATCCGCAGTCTTAAGCTTTTAGGCAAGTCATGTTATAAATGAGAATTGCAGTTTCTGGACTTAGAATTTATTTGACAAAAAATAACAAAACGTTTTATATAAATATTTCCTTAATTTTATATATTAAGATATTAAGTTAAAAGCTAAAAGTTAATCAACTAGATGAATTAGGATAGCAACTTATGGTAATTTATAAAGGTGTTGGGGGGTGGGGTGGAGTTATCTATTTAAATTGGAGAACCTCATAGTTACAGTGAGTTGTTGATCCAATGCATCTTATAAGCGACTGACGCTTCATGCTTTCCGCTTTATTTCTCTTTGTTTTCTATTNCCCACCCCACACCACCCCCACAAAAAAAAAGAACCCAAAATCCCCCCCAACCCAAACAAAAGAAAAGCAAACTCTTACAAATGAAGGGGGTTAAAATTATAGGTATATTGTTTTCAGCTAACTGTTGCCCCAAATTTTTGGTTTTGGTATAAACTTATAACTGAATGCTTAATTCAAGAATATGTCAATTTATACAGTAACCACTTGTGTATATGGATATCATTATATGGATAAGAAATTATGCATTTATGCTTAAGTATGTCATGTTAAGTACCTGGCTCCTGATCTACACAACTATGTTCGTAACAAGCGCACCTGAATTTTGTACACTCATTGTTGACTATGCTCCACGTAACTTGTTTGTGGAGATACCAACTTCTAGATTGTTTATGCAGGTGAATGACAAGGATCTAGCTAAAGAGTTGTGCAAAAAGTACAGTGCGGTAAGTACTTTGGTTCACAGCTCTTCCTCTCTGTTATAAGCTTAAGGAACCAAAGATAGGAGATGGTCAAGGTCTTCTGGTTTTTCCTATAAGCATTCTGGTTCTTGTGATTTTTCTTAGATGCATGTATTCTGCTTTTGGTTATAAATTTTCTAGTTCTAGGGGTTCACTGAAGGGCTCTATTGATATTTATCTGAGTTAGAGGGACGCCTTTTAGTACTGGTGTAAATTATCTCTTTTAATGATTAAGTGCCATAATCTAAGACTCACACGTGTGCGAGCTGCTCCTTATTTCTGTTTTCTTCTCTAAATTTGTGTAGCTTTTCTTAACTGGTGTTGTGATTAGCCCTTGTCCTTTTTTGGTTTTTGCTCAAATATGTAATTATTCCAGTAATTCCTTAGTGCTGTTTTTATAATACGGTTACCTTTCTCTCAAAAAGATTAGTCCTTATCTTTCCTCTTCCTGGGCAGATTCATAGGCGCAAAGTTCGTGCATGGCAGATGATATGCATTTTGTCACGGTTTATTGATCAAGATATAGTTCAGCAAGTTACCCATAACTTGCATGTATCTCTCTATGTAAGAATTTCTGCCTGGCAATCTATTATTTGTTCTTTTCTGATTGACTGTTATCGCCACCAGAAAGAAGAAAGGAAAAGAAGGAGCCCAATTTTGCTTACCAGTTGTCTTAGGATAAAAACATTACTGGATTTGCATAACTCTGGTTTTGGAGATGTTTGTGCTAGATATTCATAGATGTCTTCAACTACCCTTTCTAATTGCAGACTGTTTCTTTTCCATTGTAAATTTGGAAGTTGCTAGCTATTCTACATGGCTCTATACTACTTTATCTTGGGCATCTCATTTATTGGGTATTCCAGAATTTTTTAAGCACATCTACAAATAAGAAAAAGACAAGTTTCTATTGGATATACAAACATTGTGGTATAGCTACCAGATGAACAGTAATAATGACAATTATTCTTGTTATAATATTTTTGCAATAAATACATTATTTATAGGGTGCTCGAAGTCGAGCTATAATGGTAAATTTTCATAAGATTTGGATAACTATCCACTAACTGTCGCATGGAGTATCTGGAAAGAATGAAATGGGAGATGCTTTGAAGAGAAAAAGGAAGTGATTCATGCTGTTAAATAACATAGAATTCGCCCTTCCCAAACCCCATTCTTTTTCCCCTCCCTCCGCAAAAAAGAACAAAAGAAAAAAAGGAAAAGAAAAAGGATTCGACTCAGGGGACAACAGGGCTGTAATTTGAACTTTCGAAGACTGCTGAATGATGGGGAAGTGTATAGAGTTGCTACATTGATAAACCAGTGTTAAAAATAGCGCTCGCCTCAGCGTTAATAGCGTGAGGCGGCGATGCGAGCAACCTGCGCTATTTTGCCTCTGTTGCATTGCGATTGTAAAAGGCGAGCGCCTCTGCCTGTGTAGCGAGAGGCGAGCTGTGGCGTCTTTCTTTTTGAAAAAAAAGAAAGAAAAAGGCGCAGACATTAAAAGAAAAGACCAGCCACTTAAAACATTAGGGCTTGCAGCGATTTCACGTTTCTTTCTTCTTCAACCTTCAAACAACAGAGCATCCAAGTCCACCCAAGACGATTTCAACCTGAAAGCTTCAAGTTTCTGCCATCCTCTTCTTCATCCAAGTCGACCCAGCCCAGGTTTCTTCTTCTTTCTTCTTTCTCCTTTCTTTCTTTCGTCCTTTTCCTTCTTCTTCTCTTCTTCTTTCTATTTTTTTGCTCTGTTTTTTGTCGAGCAACAGTGCAGAACAGAGAGTCTGCTGCTCTGTTTATTTTTTCATTTTTCTTCGTTTTCTGATCTTCTCTTCTATTTTCTATTTTTTTTGCTCTGTTTTTTGTCGAGCAACAGTGCAGCAAAAAACAGAACAGAGAGTCTGTTTATGCTCTGTTTTTTTTTCATTTTTCTTCTTCTTCTGATCTTCTCTTTTTTTTTGTTGCTCTGTTTTTGATTGAGCAGCAGTACTGCACTCTGTTTTTGCTATTGTTTTTGCTCTGTTTTTTTAATTCTTTCACTCACTGTTGGGAAGAGGCAGAGGCAGAGAACTTCTTCAAACCTGAAATTTCCTCCCTTTTCAATTATAGAGTAGAATTAATTGCATATTGTGATATGAATCTACTATGACTATCTATTGATTTTTTAATTTTTTAATTGATATATTTATTAATATATTATTGTTATTGAGTTTTTAGTTATATATATATATATATATATATATATATAATATTTTATTCTTTTGTATAAATTGTCGCTTCACATAAAAAAGGTGAGCGCTTCGCTGCGCGCCTCTCGCCTCAGTGAAACGGTCCCTCGTCGCTATTTGTTGCCGCACGCTATCCAAAACACTGTGATAAGCCAAATTGACCAACTGCAAGGCCTCTCAGATTGCGAGAACTCTTTGGTATGGAAGGGGTCAAGCACCAGATATTTCTCGGTGATCTCTGCTTACAAAAGCCTAATGGGCAACACTCATTCTGATAGGAGTTGGCCTTGGAAACAAATTTGGAAGGTAAATGCACCCACAAAGGTGCTATGCTTTGTATGGTTGGTGGCCAGAAAAGCTTGCTTGACTGATGAAAAACTTAAGAGGAGGGGATATCAACTTACCTCCAGATGTTATCTCTGTGGAAGGGAAGCAGAGGACAACTCCCACCTGTTTCTTCACTGTGTTGTTACCTCTCAACTGTGGCACATGTTTCTAAGTATTGTCAGAATGAACTGGGTCATGCCAAAAATACATCCGGCCTCTTGAGATGCTGGGCTGGTGTGACAGGTGGAGTCAGACAGAAGAAATAGTGGCAGAAGATCTCAGCCTGCATTTGGTGGTCAGTCTGGAACGAGAGGAAATCCAGATGGTTTGAGAGTGTTAGCAACTCCATTCAGAAAATCAAAATAAACTGTTTAGTACTCTTTCTTTTTTGGTGTAAAGAATGCCCCGTAAATGATTGTGACTCCATACTTGATATCATATAATTCTTGTAAGCTTTTTGTAGTGGGGGGATTATTTTACTTTTTGGGGGATGTATTCTGTCACTTTTAGCAGCACAAACTTTGTGCTGTTTTATATTTATAAAATGTTATCATTCTCAAAAAAAAAAAAAGGATTCGACTCAGGTAGTGTTAGGTCAAAATTCTCAAGGGTTTCATTAGCATCTGCTGCTTCATGCAATATATACAGTTTTGTGACATATTTGTACATGAAAGCCAATATCTTTTTGGGTAATGGATATAGTGTCCATATGTGCTCAAGTGATTGACGTCTATGTCGAGCAGTTCCATCGCTGATCCTAATGATTCTGACTGTTCTTTTCCATGTAGAGAAATAATTTCCCTTCGGTTCGGCAGTATTTGGAAACTTTTGCGATCCATGTCTACTTGAACTTCCCGTTGCTGGTATGGAATTCTTTGATAAATTCACCTTTTTTGTTGTTCTATTCATAAAATTAGATTTTTCTGTGTTGTGCCATTTGACGTTTTGATATTTTGGGTGATGATTAGGGTTTATTTTTTTCCTTATTATGTAGTATTCTCCTTTTCCCTGAAGTTTATTTTTATTCTCTTCATGTTTTTGTTTTTGATTTTTCTCTTTCTATATCTACGAATTTCTGAATATGTGAATATCCTGGGTGAGTAATTATCCTAATGTTTCAGATGTTCCTTCTTTCTGCCAGCAAGGAAAATTAAGTGCAACGCGTTATAATAAATAAGCTTTTCCCTCAAGGTTAAGATATTATCTTGCTGTTTCTATTCCTTTTTCTTGAGGAAAATTCAATTTTGGTCCCTTTATTAACTTTGTTTGCTCTATCTGTCTCCTATTATTATACTGAAGCTTTAATCTATTGAACTTTTAAGATTTGTCCAACTTTAAATGTAACTAACTAATTGGGCATTGACCAGCTAACAGCCCTTTTAAGTGGAAAATACGTCTTTTAGGTAAAGGGAATAGTGGTTTGCATAGGCGCGTGACATAAGTGATGACACTAGAAATGAATAAGTCTACCCAGAGGTGGCACACAGAAACCACATAGTTATGGGTTAACAGAGCTGTTAGAGTTAGCTAATTCCATTCAAGATTGAATTAGATTTGCAAAATTTGATAAAGTGAAGGTTAAATGTGCGAGATGGATGAGATTGGGACACAAGTGCTAATATAGCCGAATTTAAGAACTAAAATTGCCTTTCCTCTTTTCTGGCTATGTTGATCCATAAAGATGTGAAGCCTTTGAGGATTAAAAGATATGAAGACTTTTCTGGCTATAAAAGGGCAGCTATGCGCGGGGTTCGGGGAATGGCCGGATCACAAGGGTCTATTGTACGTGTGAGAAGGCACGGGAGAAAATATTTTATTGATATTGGATGATAAATACAATACAAGAGGTC